AGTATGTGTTTGGCTCTTCGAGAGTACCTGTGTGTTCGATTATAACAAAGCAAGTCAATATGTGTAGTTGTCAATAAGGACAGACGAATTGCTCCTTCAGCAGTTCTCTCTCGCCTCTACACTCACTCCACTTCTCCCCACTTCCCAAATCACCACAATTACTTACGGACAGTATGTCTTGCTAAATATTACAACTTTATGTTTGTCGATAATGTCCTGTATCTCCTTCTCTATACTTGTCTCATTGTCCTTGTCAATCTCGTTCTCATTTTCTACACTTTCGCTGGCCTTGTCTAGATTCTTATCTTCATTCTTTGCCTTCCCACGACTAGAATCCCAGAATCCCCATTCATAATCGTAATCATCTTCCTCATCGACAAACATGTCGTTAATGCCGAAATGATGTCCCTTTCCATATAAGAATTCGTGCGTTTGCACTTCGAGAGCCTGTATGCCTTCTTCGCCACCTTCCCCGAGCGCACTTACAGCAGCCATTGCAGCAGCATTGTTTCGGTACGGTCGTAGTGTGTCAAAGTTAAAGTGTGCCCCGCTGAAATTTGCGACCGCCCATAGCGAAGAAAGAAATATTAAGAGAGTTGTTGAAAGAATGCGGAATTTTTTTGTTCGCCAGACACGGTCATGAAGTTTGTTAGTGGAATAATGTTGAACGTTTGGATAGTGTATTGGTAATAATGATTTAGCCATTTTGCCTGAAGAGGACGACAGCGTACGTGGATAGACGCAAGCTGGAACTGTGGGTGGAGTCAAAGCAAGTGGTGCTGTTCGTTTCTCCAGGTTGAGATTGATTTTTTGTATGATTTGCGGGGCGGGGAAATGAGACCGTTTTGGGTTGATTTGTGCGATGCGAGGGTTAATGAGACCTGTTTGTGGCGTGCTTTTTGGGAAGGCTGGGTTCTCTATTGGCGGAAAGTCCCCAAATGTCCGTCTCGTTGAAAATAATTATGGTAAAATAAGAACGGCTTGAATAGATGAAACGGGAGCGGACAAAAGGTGCCAAAGGGGTGGGGGTTTGATTCTTTTTAAAGGGTCTTTATTTACTAAGAATATAGTTACTAAGAATATAGTTCACGGAACAAATTATACTTTTACTATTATTATGGCGTGTGTGGCCATGCCATGCAGAACAATAAAGTTAAAAAAAAGAGACACAGCGTTCAATATTAGTAATATATGTACGTAAAATGTAATATATTGTGATTGTCTACATTAATTTACCTTATATGTTTGTGCAATGTTTAGGCATTCATTTATTTGTCGTCCCCACAGTAGAACAAAATATAATGACTGTATGACATTCTCACGAACAGTGTATTTTATTTATGAAGGACGAGAGACTGCATACAATAATGCTGATGAACTTATATCCAAAATCACCAATACAATGCCAAGTTTTGTTACATTATCAAGTTAACAGAGAGAGGACATGGCACGACATTACATGCTTAAGAACTGGTGCGTTGTTTGGTACAGTTTAAGAGTGATTCTTTTTGAAATCAGTCCACATGACATTACATTACGCACAACTTTCACAGACTTCTAATAGAACGAACATAATACCTTCTACAGAACAGATAAATGGACACGGTCACCTACAGTTAGGGAGACGAGAGAACTCTTGCGTACAGATATGTTAGCAAATAGTATTCATTGCCTGCCATCCACGTTTACAAACACAATTACCAAAAGAGGACGATCAACAAAACCATGTCAAAGAACAAAAATCACACAATTTGACAACTTGGATATATTAGGTTAACCCGAACAGCTCACCAGAGCTTAACATGCGGTATACGAGTTGACTGACATGGGAAATTCATTTTACCATTTCTTGGCAAATTATTATTCATTTAGTTATTATATATATACCTTGTAAAGAAATTGATATACAACCATGGTTATTGGCGCGAACAAAAAGCGAGTGTAAAAAACCCAGCATGCATCCAACAATCATGGTAATAATGCGACAGTATAAATAAC